GAGAACAAAGAAAGCTCATCTGCCAAACTTGGTTCAGAAATATATAAACCAAGGAAATATAGCCTTCATGAAACATTAAGGGGGTGGTTTGGCCCCTACCTGATGGGTCTCAGAGAACAGCTGCTGTCTGAATGGCTGTCCAATTCAGCTTCCACCTATCGATCTCACAATTTGGAGCAATGCCTCAAAAAAGGGCTGGGGTGCAGCCTACCAGGGAATTTCCACCAGGGGCCATTGGAGTGTGGAAGAGGCGAAGCGGCACATCAATGTCTTGGAGCTACAAGCAGCAACATTGGCTCTGAAAGCACTTCTGCAATCCCAAGAACCTCAACATCTGCCGCTCAAACATATTCACTTGAGAATAGCCAACACCACAGCGGTGGCGTACATCAACAAGAGAGGGGGCATGCACTCCCCTTCTCTGACTGCACAAGCCTTAGAGTTGTGGGCAGGAGTATCACTGACAGCTCAGCAAATGTGGTAGCAGACAGAGCCTCCAGGCAAATCGAGACCAGAACGGAATGGACATTGGACAGGAAGATCTTCCAGTCCATTTGTCAGAGATTCTACACACAAGTGGACCTCTTTGTATCCCAAGTATGTCTCAAGGTACCCAGATCCAGGGGCTCTGGCTGTGGATGCATTCCTCCTGGACTAGAGCAAATGGACTTGTCTAATCCATCCTCCCATAGTCCTTCTACCTCAGGTACTGAGGAAGATCAAAGAGGATCAAGCAACTGCAGTCCTCCTAATCGCCCTGAACTGGACCGGACAGCCATGGTTTCCAGACCTAATTCAGATGCTGGTGGATCACCCACTGCTGCTACCCCAGCGCCAATCTCTATTGTTTCTCCCATGTCAGCCAACAGCATACCATCCCCTGTTAAAGTCCCTTCATCTAACAGTTTGGCCGCTATCAGGGACCGTTACCAAGCAACAGGCCTTTCAAAGGAAGTTGTTGACATCTTGTAGGCCTCATGGGGAACGGATACACTGGTGTTCTCAATGGGGTTCCTGTCCCAATTTCAGCTTCTGTAGCAGAGTTTCTTGCATTTCTTGCATCCCTAGTTACACAAGGCAATTTGGAATACAGGACTATAGCTCTCTATAGGTCAGCTATTTCTCAGGCTCATGACCCAGTTGGCTCTACTCAGTTAGGAAGTCTCCCCACTGTGGCTCGTTTTATGAAAGGGTTGTTTAAGATTAAACCCCCCAAACCTAGATACTGCTCTACATGGAATGTGAAGACTGCTTTGTCATTCCTAGAGTCCCTTGAACCCTTAGAAGAATTGACACTAAAGCAGCTTTGTTGTAAAACTGTTTTATTATTAGCACTGACTTCAGCAGCAAGAGCTCATGAACTGTCAGTGTTGGACTTGACGTACTCTCTCAGAAAAGAGGGATCATGGGAATTTTCACTCCCCACTCATGTGAAGAACTCCAGATGTGATCACCCTGCTTGGAAGTTTCTTTTCTTGCAATTCCCAGAGAATCCCAAGATTTGTGTTGTTCGTAGTCTTACCGCTCATGTGGAGAGGACAAAAGGATTGCGCAAATCCACCCAACTATTAGTGTCATTTGTCTCTCCGCACAAGGCAATTTCAAGTCAGTCAGTCTCTTGGTGGCTGTCAAGAACCTTGCGTATGGCTGGAATTGAATTGAATTACACTGGACACTCAACTAGGGGAGCGTCTATCTCTGCTGCTCTGTCTGCTGATCTTATCTTGGAAGCAGCGGACTGGGCTTCTGTGCAGACCTTTGAACAGTTCTATCACAGAGAGTCATCTGCTGGTGCCTTCACAAGGGCTGTGCTTAATGGCTAGATTTATCAAATCACGGAATACCTCCTTGTTATACAGTTTACAGGAGGCTTTGTATCGTTGCAGGACATTAAGTTTCTATCTAGCGTCATTCGAGTATTTATTATTCACTATGGTTGTGTTGTGTTATTGCAGCTCGTTTATACTCTATACTTTTAATTATTACCTGTATTTTTAAATTTATACCTTGTATTTTTTTAAATTTTATCTTGTATTTTTAATTATTATATTTTTAGTCCAGGACCCCTCTGGATATCAGCCTCATTGCTGAATGGGCCGCCCTGGCTAAATAAAGTTTACCTTTACCTTTACCTTTACTTTGCCTTATCCCATTTGCAGGAGGCATTGTATTGTTTTAGGACCTTAAGATCTCATCTAGCTTCATGTAGTATTATTAAATTGTTATGGTTGTGTTACTTTGCCTTGTCTTATTCGCTTGGCAGTATTGCTTTGGTAAACTGCACCAGTATTGTGACTATCAGTCAGAGGGGGTGAAGGAGAAATTATATTTCCCCAGAGGGTTACTTACCTGACGGGGAGATGTGGTTCTCCGAACCCCTGGTAGACTGATACGAGCAATACTGGTCCCCAGGCCATTGGAATATGTCTTTTCCTCCCCACCCTTGTACTGCAATCGACATGGCCTCACACACCACAACTCAGAGGCACAGGGCATGCGCAACTTTTCTTTTATAATGTGGTATCCAGGCCACGGCCCTGCGACATATGCACCAGTATTGCTCATATCAGTCTACGAGGGCTTCGGAGAACCACATCTCCCCATCAGGTAAGTAACCCTCCGTGGAAATATAATATCGCCACAAAAACCAAGTTTGCATCTTCACTTCTAAGGTAAAAAGCTACATTCCTGTATGAATCTGAGACCTGGAAAGTGACTCAAGCCATATCCGATAAGCTACGAAGCATTGTCAACAAATGTCTCAGAAAGATCCTCAAGATTCATGGGTGTCTCAAAAAATCAGACCTTAAAAACTACTTTTTGGATCTGATTTTTTGAGAAAACCAGAGGGTCTGAGTTTTCAGACATCCAGAGGGTCTGAGTTTTTGAGACACCCAGGATTCCTGGCAGGATAAGATAAGTAACTAACTTACGAGCAGGACAGGACAAGAGCGCATACCGACTGAAAAAGCAAGATGAAAATAGGCTTGGATAGGTCACACTCTGTGAAAAACAGCCACTGATACTACCAAGCAGGCCTTGAAATTTTATCTGCAGGGTAAAAAAATTGGGAAGTGGGAAGGCCTGTTAAACTGGAGAAGGTCAACTGAAGAAGAACTGAATATAGCAAACATCAGCTGGCAGATAAAGAGATTTGGTGGGCCAATCTTACCACGTTTAGGCCTGTACTAGTACTAGTCTTATCATGCCTGTTATTTAATCAGTTCGTGATACATTTTGTGGTAGCTGGAAGGAAAGTCTCAAGCATTTGGAACAATGTACAGTGCAGTATATAATCAATTGAAAAATCACACAATTTTAAATAATATCACCATAAAATGTTCCTTGAGTCATTGTTTTCAAGGTCATAGTTTTCACCCTCAAGTAACGGTTTTGTGTACACTTTCAGCTGTATCTTGTTTGCCTTCTGAACGATTTTCTATTTCACCAAAAGAATGCAATAAAAGATTAAGGTCACTGTGCACATTTAAGAGAAAATGAGCATTTTTTTCCCAGTTGAGCTTAGTAAGTGTATGCATCCATGTGCACATGCTAATGACATGAAAATTGTGTGCAGTAGGGATGCACAATAGAAATTCAGATGATTTACCCTAATTGAAACAAACCTGTGCTGGTCTAGTTTATTAAAGTGGCGGCTGGTGCAAGTTGGAGTATCAAGTCTTAATCTTTCCACTAAGATATTTTGCCATTAGTTGGAGTTATTTTGTGTTTTGCTAGTGCTGCTTCAGAGGTCTGTTTTCTGTTGATTTCAAGATATTGCACTTTAATTTTTTTTTTCACTGCATGGTTTTAAGCTTTCTTGTAAGCTTCTTGTTAGATATAATTTTCTTCTCACTAGGTTGTTTTTAAAATGTGTGGTCTTTTTTTCATTGATCAGGGAAGAAACTTACAAGACAAACTTAGAAGGCACATTTTTGTGAGTGTTGGAGTCTTACCTTGCAAGATAACCAGCGTTGACACGGTGTGTTGAAAGTGAAGTTGCACAATTTCAACAATAATTCTTCACTAGCACTACAATGATTTAGTGCCCTTCTTGCAATAAGCACCCCCTTTCTAATAAGTGCGCCCCCATGTAATAAGTTCCCCTATTCCAATAAGTATCCCCTACCAAGAAGTGCCCCCATAGCAGAAATAACATTCAAGACGTTGACACAGAATAGACTGACAAAAAGTAAAGCAGCACACTAGTGCTAAATTGAATCATCATGGTAATTATAGGAGACTCTTATCAAAGAAAGTCAGCAATGGAATCCTTTAGCAGGGTACAATCATGTACAGGCATATTTTGTTTTGATTTATGAAGAAGGTTTTAATGAAAATTTTACCCCTCTGAATTTTTTTTCCTCTCAAGTAGACATAATAAAAATTCAAAGGAATATTAAGTCTTTTCTCCTTGGACTCTCTCACCTTCCTTTTTGTACTCTTCTACCTATTTTATTTAGTGGAGTGATCTTTGGGCCTTGGAAATAGCAAAATAAGGGTGTGTAGTTCACTTGCTGCAAGGAAACACACTTTACATTTACACCATTTTCATCAATCAAGTCATATCTCTGCACAGAATGTTGGAAATCATCAGGATTCCTGTTGTAATAGAAAGATTGACAGGAACTCAAGATGCTCAGTTTTGGCCTTTCCTGGTCATTCAGTCCTGTTCCAGGGAAATATAGGTCTGGATTTATGAAAACGATTTTAATGAAAATTAACATCAAGATGTGAAGATTTTTTTTTTGTGCCAAGAAGACAAAACACTTTGTAGGAGTCGTAAAATCAAAGTGTGTGGTCCACTTGCTATAAGAAAATACACTTTTCATTAACAAGTTCTTTTTGTGAGTCTAGTCATATATATGTTGCCAATTTGGGGTGCCCAGAAAAATAGTTTATTTTTCAAATTCACGCCAGTCTTGTTGTTAAAACACATTTACCAATTTCCCCCAGAATCTATGACGCAGCTGCATGGAGACCAATAAATTTCTGGATTTGAAGCTGATATTTTGACTTAATTTTAAGTCAACTCAGAAAACCTGTCAGAGTTCCAAACTTCCAAAGTTGGATGGTTTAAGGATATCCCTGCTGGTATGCTAGTAATTTAATGTTTTCTTTTTGATAGACCCAACTGGTGTGTGTTGCACCTATTGAGGACAACCAGTCTCCAAAGGCATCTAATAGTCAGTACACTGTTAAGGTATGTTGCTTTTGTTATTCAACATTAACAGTATGGCTGTGTTTCATTTTTTGAAAAAAAAGAAAGAAAACTGGAAAGGGCTTTGCAGTTAATAATATTAGACAGACAGGCAGACAGACAGACAGACAGACAGACAGACAGATAGAGAGATAGATTAATACAGTTAGCAATTAGAGTGAACCAACGCAGCCCAGACTCAGAGGCTGTCTCAATTTTGCATCGAACAGTGGCTAGTAATCGAGCCTACAAGAAACCCAGCTCTGAAAAGATAAGGTATTAATTTTTAGCCCGAAATGTGGTCATGGAGTCAAGCTTTGTTCTCTTCCAAGAAACTAACACCTGCTTTCAGTGTTACCTACATAGGTGACATCTTTCGACCATCTTTTGACATGCCATCTCTCTGCTATGTAACCTAGCCTACGTCAAAAACACATGCACAACGGATTTCTTTATGGTCAAACTCGACTTTTAGTCATGAAAGATGGATTTATTTGACATCAAACTAAGGTTAGGATTATCGAGAAGTCATCCTGTGCCAGATAAATCAACTGTTTTGAATATTTGTATCTTTCGAATATTCAACACTGTAGCGGAAATTGTTTGAATTATCCCTTAAATCAGGAAACATGCAAAGTCCTCAATCTTTTCCAGCCATTTGAGGTTATTACTTAATTATCATTTATTCATTATTTCTTCTGCTAACAACCAGAAAAATTGCCAGTTTCCCAGTTAAATGGTCTTTCAGCTGTTTACACAGCATGTCGAAAGATGGCGTGTAAAAAGATGGTCAAAGGAGAGTTTTATAAACCTGTGAGCCAGCGAGCCATGCGAGCCATGCGAGCCATGTGAGCCATGCAAGCCATGCAAGTCATGCGAGTCATGCGAGCCCTAGTAAAAATGTTAAGATTTTTTATTTGTTACATATGGTTGGCCATTCATTTCAAAATTACAACAGGGTATACGCGGGTTTTTCTGCCACGTATACTTGTTTACATACGTTATGTATGGGCTTTAAGCTCATATATACGACCATTTAGATCGCGTTTATACGCATTTTTAAAGGGCCACATATTCGCTTAAATTCAAGCGCGGAGATATGCGAAATAAATTCCCAAATATACGCGTCCTACAAGGACCCATATATACGCGTGCTAAAATGCGCGTATATGCGGGTCTCGAAAATTACGTTGTATATTCTAGCACGAAATGTGCCTTTGTAAGAGAACGGACATTCGTGTATGACAGCAATGAAAATTACTTTAACTAAACGTCGTCAATATGGCGGCAGTNATGGGAATGAGGATAAAGCTATGGGACAGCAAGAAATTCCAACGACCACCTCACGCTACAAAAATTCAGAGTGGTGTGGAAGCAGTAGTATTCTTGGCTGGCCTGGACTATAATTATGTGGAAATTTGCGCGTTTTCTGTTCAGCGGTTGTTTTATTCAGTATAGTTATTCAAAATGGTGGCTAAAGGCGATGCGCAACGAGAAGAAAAGCATCCTCCGTGCAGTGTAAGTATATAATCGCAGCTTCTTAACATACCACTCATCTGAGATAGTATTTTTTAGGGGTAGTCCATTTTAGGGTAGTCCATTTGGGTAGTCCATTAGGGTAGTCCATTAGGGTAGTCCATGGACTAGGGGTCAGTGTTTTGTCCATCACCAAAAAACTCAATGATTAGAAGACAGTTCACATTCTATCACTACCAAAATGGCTGCTTATTCTCCTTCTGAACGTTTGGTCGCAAAAAGTCCCGTTTAATGTTGGCTAGAGTCTATGCGAGACTAGAAACAACATATTTTCTTTGACCGCATGAAAGGTCCGCCATTTTCCCTGCTAACAATAGCTTCATGACATCATGGCCGTCCTAATATATCAGGATATTCCGGACTGTTTAGTGGCTCTTGATAGGTAGAAAACCACAGAGTGCTAAAATTAGCATCTTTGTAAAGAAATAAATCGAGAAACGAAATACTACTTTTGTCAATAACATAGTACGTAAGTTTGATACGATCATTCTTGCTATAGAGACAACTAAGAAACTCTAATAGGATTTCTTTGGGACCCTTCAAAACAAAAAATGTCTTTTTTCTTTGTTTTAATTTTTTAATCTTTTTTTAATTTTTAATTTTTATTTCTTAACTTTTTAAAATATTTTGGGGGCCATACTGTTAGCGCTAATCGTATGGCCCCCAAAATATAACAACACGCAATAACATGTGCATAGATAACAATAACATGTAGAGCGTAGATCGGAGAGAGTAGCTGGCAGAACACAGAGCGTAGATGGACTTTGAGGGTAGATGGTAGAGAGTAGAGAATAGATTGAAGAGAGTAGCTGGTAGAACATAGAGAGTAGAATGTAGATGGTAGAACATATAGCGTAGAGCGTAGAGGGTAAACTCCTAACATTATATTAACTAACATTAATATGCCACCTAAGAAAAATCCTGGTTTCCATGAATTCCGTGTTTAAAAATTATGGTAGAGAAGGCGTTTAAATTTGGTTAATGAACCAGACTCTCATGTATATGAGATATATGCAAGGAATATGTTACAAATTGAAATCAAATGTTATGAAATAGGCAGGTAACCATAGTAACAATACACAACTACGGTAAAAGCTATTAAGTAGGGGGAAATGTATCTTTCCAACACGTAGGAGGAGACTGGTGACGAAAGTGTAGAGTCGTAGAGCTCTACAAAAATTTCTACACCAAATCGAGTTTCATAAAACAGGTGCCAGTTGTGGCTCGGTGCTTTCAGTCTTTGTTTTGCTAAAACTGCCATGGTTTCCTGTCAGGAAAAACTCACTAAGTTAAGGAATAATTCCTAAGAATTATGTACATTAGTTGATTGTTGCTTCCTTGTTAAAATACTGTCATTTTCTAAAAGCGAATTTTAATGTGTAATTCGGCGATCAACTTCAGCTTATCATAACCATCTAAATGCAAAGTGGGTCAAATTTCAAAAAATACTCCAGCTAGCTGTTCTGATTATATTGTGGGCAGATGCCTCCTTAAATCAAAAGCGTAACTTCTTCTACTTGAGGATATGTTAGCAGAGGAAACAAAAGCAAAGAAATGGTATTCCCAAGAATGAAAGTCAAATTAAGAGCTGACCTGTGTTGATTTCCGTATGACATGAAAGGTCAAAGGGTTGCCCGTATTACTCAAGTCACCTGTTTTGAAAATATTCCCAGAATTCACCCTTTTGTTTACCCCATTTTTTTTGTCTGATGTGTAGTTGAAATGACTGATCTTCCCTGGAGTGTTGTCTTGTTGGGTGAAGTCATGTACCAGAGTGTTTTTTTGAGCCTTGAATTTCATCTAAACATGGGTAAAAATTGTGCTTGCATGACCCTTGTAATTGTAGTGTAAATTACGCTTAAATAGCCTTTTCTTACACATGTTTTACTAAACGGCTTTTCAATCGCCCGAGCCAAATTTTTTATGTGTTGTAAAACAATAACAATGCTTTGCAAAAATGTATTTTTCATTTGCAATTTCCATGTACCAAGGTACGAAAATGGCCTTAAAAAATGCCGTATTTTGGGGTTTTTATCAAAATGCAAAAACTACATTGTAGAAATTTAAGCTTCTAACCCAAAGTGAAAATGCACTTCTTGGCAATATTTTTACACCTTTGTGATGTAATTGTGATACCAAACATACTTGTAAAAGATCATTTTAATAGACTGAGCTGTCCTTCTCTGAGATCAGTGATGTGAATGTCTAAGTTTTTGCCTGAATTCATTGCAGCCGCAGCACGAAAACTGCAATTCTACTTTTTGTTGGATTTCTCAAAATCAAAAACTCTCTGGCATTTAAGTTTTATTCTTATTTCGAAAAGAGTTCACCAAAGGGTTTCTCCCGGCAAAATATGAAGAAATCTGTGATTTCAGGTTTGAAAGTCAACCCTCGATATTTATAGTCCCCTGGTCTTAATGAGACAAAATAGCTGATTTACTGAGTGAAAGAGACAGCAAGAAAATAACTTATGATTGAGAAATCTTAGATAGTGCAGAATGTAATGTACACCTCAGGCACATAGTAGTCACACAGGTCCCCACCTCTGCCTTTCACTCCCAGTTTGATTTGAATAGTCAGCTAGGGATTTTCCTCTTGCAGAAGATGAATGGACAGAAACCTTGATAAGACATAATCTTAGCAGTGAATGTTTCATGTGTGTGTTTTCATTCAAGATCAAAGAATAGCTTACTGTCAACTTAGAGTTTGTCTGTCAGTCCATTGCAAAAAGTAAGGTTTGAAAGGTCTTTGCCCTTCACTTAAATTCAAATATACAGAAGTTTTTTTTCTTGTATATTCCAGATGCCATACACCATAGGATAAGATTGGTGTTAGCATTTTTATAGGAAATATGACTCTTGAAAAAAATTGAAATTTTAGCATTGTTTATTTGTTCTTCATTGTTTCCATGGAATATTGATAATTTGCCCTAAAAACAGTCATTCTACTAAACTTCAATCTATTCATTTGAAATGAATGGTGTAATTTTAGCTTCAATGCAATCAAGGGAAGACTAGTAAAAAGCTGATTGGAAATGTTGGATATGGTCTTGAAAAACTGTCTTGAGACGCCTTGAATCTTGTATGTTTCTTTAAATGATCTTTCTTTTACTCTGGGTGATCTTAGTAAATCATTTCTATCTTGTTGACAAAAATGCAATCCAACCAAGTCTGTCATGTACAGTGTATTTAGATGGATGATAGTAATAATTGAACAACTATTGTTCAATGAAAAGAATAAGCATTAACAATATTATTTTTAATTTGACAGGTTGTTGTAGGGAACTTAGATTTCACTCTTGGTAAACTTGAGTATTTTAAAGAGGTGGAAAGTAGGGTTATTCCAATTGAAGTGTGGATAGGAGTGGGCAGTGGTGTAGCTTTGTTTATAATCGTTTGCGTCGTCATACTTTGCTGGTGTCGCCGAAGTCGTCGTAAGCAGAAGAAAGATATTAAGACCCTTGAAGTGCAGATGAACAACTTGGAGTCCAAAGTTGCTCGTGAATGCAGAGAAGGTGAATATTAAAATGGAAACATAACCCGCAACATACCCAGCCTGTGTTGCAGACGCTCAAGTAAATAAGGCATGAGCTGGAAGGGTGTACCCACTCTAGTAATCAGAGCATGTGTTGGAGCAGTTTAATGCCAGTGATGAAGTGATCACATAATTATCTGCGTCACCGTGTTTGTGTTCTCGCTCTTGTGCACCACTCTAACTAGCTCCCTGTTTTTATTCAAGCAGCTGCTATCCAGGCTAACTCATACCCATTGGTTCCATTTGATGGCAGATTTTGCATGACGTTAACTGAAACCGGGGCCATCCAGACAATGAAAACCAGGCAGACGGCAGACCTGAAACAATAGATTCCAACATTTTCAAATCCAGCCAATCAAATGTCCAGTTCAAAACAGTGAAATCTCAACTTGTTCTTTGTGATGCTTATGTAATTACGGTGTCTGTTAATAAATTGTCAAGCTCAAGCCGTTAGTACTTTCATGTTAGAAAATATTCTGTTACTTTACTCAAGATTATACATTGACAAGCGTGGTAAACTCATTAGATTGACCATTTTCCACTGTGAACATACTGCCTCACTTTTACGGTTGTTGTTTAAAATCGTAGAATAATTAATACATTTTAATAATTAATACATTTTGACATATTTTTTTACAAAATAAATTCTGCTCCTGTTGTCTGTGCATATTTCTATTTTTACAAGACTTTCGGTTATCCACCATGCAGTTCTCGGAAAAATCATCACGTTGACTGTCTCAGCAGCTGTACATCTTTTAATTTGAGCTCCCTTTCTGGGTTATCAGTGTATTGACATGACATCTTCATGGAAAATTCAAACAAAATTTTTGCCACGTTGTACTATCAAACCCTCAGCGTGTAAAATCACTCACTCAAAAACAAAAGATGATAGTGCCATGCATAGAAACCTCCCCTGGGTGGAAAAATCAAAGATATTTCGATCAAAGAATGCAGATTACAAGTCCATTTTTGTATCAAGTTAACTTTTCATTTCTCCTGCTTGAAGTTTGTTTTCAGCTTCTTTCAGTTACTTTGAAAATAGTCCCTTTCCATTTCGTACATTTCGAACCTGTGCACATGCGAAACTACTCAGAGACCATTTGAAGGGTTTCTTTTAAACAGCCGTGACAATATTCAAACCCTACACCACACACTCTGCCAGCGATATATATTTGTGAGTCACACTCTTATGCAGCTTTTCTTTCCACGTATTTTCTAAACCGACCAACAACTCCGTAGAAAGTGCAGCATATAATTCTTCTTAAACCTGCAATCACGTGAAAGTACTAATGGTTTGAGCTTGACAATTTATTAAGCGACACTGTGATCACATATTAAGCATCACGACAAACAAGTTGAGATTTCATTGTTTTGTACTGGTCGTTTGATTGGCTGGATTTGAAAATAAGACATTTGATTGGCTGCATTTGAAAATGTTGGAATCTATTATTTCAGTTCTGCCATCTGATTGGTTTTCATCATCTGGGTGGCCCCCGGTTTCAGTAAACGCACTGTAACATGACATTATTGTAACGTAATGCCAAGTTAACCAAAGTGGTTGGGGAGGCTAGAAGCCAACTTTTTTTTAATTTACAAAATGTAGAATTAAACAACTCGTATTGGATAAGAACAGAGTGTAACCATTGTCTTATTTACTTCCTTGTTTTATTTTAGCTTTTGCTGAACTTCAGACAGATGTGACAGACTTAACAAGTGACCTATCTACCACTGGAATGCCATTTTTAAATTTTCAAATGTACGCTTTACATGTGTTGTTTCCTGGGTTAGATGATCATCCAGTTCTTCATCAGAATAAGGTAAAGAACTTCACCAAAGTAGTTCACCAAAGTTTCCTGTGATTCCCTAATTTACAGACACACTAAACATCGCAGTTTACTTGCAGTTTTATAACATTGAACTGGCAGAAAATCATGTTTTGAAAACAAAAATTGTTGGAGGTAGTTAAAACCCAGTGTGAACCTTTTATTGTTGTAACTTACAACACAGACTGAAGTCTACAAACTAATTGATGGTGCTCCTTTTTTTGTCAGGTTATCCTGACAGAAAACTGGGAGAAAGGTCTACGGCAGTTTTCCCAACTGATCTACAACAAGAAGTTTCTTTTGGTATTCATTCGCACCTTGGAGTCACAAAATACGTTTCAAATGAAAGACAGGTTGGTTATGCATTTGTTTTTACTTTAGTAAAATACAACAATGAACACCAAAACACTGAAGTATGGCAGTCAGAAGAAAAAGAAAGCACTGATTGGCAGAAGATGATGATGAATAGTTATTAGTTAGATAAGAAACTTGATGTAGCCTGTTTTACCAAGATGTATTTTTAAGGCATATTCAGAAACCAAACCACACAAAGAAGTTTGGAGACTTACTGTCAACGGTCCAAATTGCTATAGAAAATACATGTAGCTACCACATGGCTGTTTCTGTTGCCACTTCTTAAATTTGGAATTATGCCAGCTTGATGAGTTTTGCTTCTTCCCTGAAATTGATCTCTAGTGAATGAAATTTCTCTGTTGGTAGAAAGTGTCCAAACCTATCCAGTTGGTTTGGTTAACAACTGTGAAGAGAGTTTATTTTCAATGAATGTCACTTTTGATTATTTTGACATTAATAAAAAAAATTATGTTTTTATGAACAGCACAGCCTAGGGCTAGCGTCGTTCCTAAAGTGAGAAACGCCTTTTTTTTGTTTTGTCGCCTGTTTACAGCCAGATTGAACTCGGAAAGTATTACAGAATTTTTATGGAAAGACTCATTTAAATGTTCTAAGAGTACGAAGTCTTTTTTTTATTAAGAAGTAGTATGTGATTCCAAGTACGGCTTTGCTGTGGATGAAACTTCTTGCTCAGGGCATAATAACAAAATACTCACCCTAACTTAACCCACCTAACCCTAAAGCTCGGAAAATTTGTCAACCAGAAAAGCATAATGATTTTTTGGAATTGTTTTGCATTAGCAATGCATTATCTTTTTTANGTCACGCACGACGGACTAAGCGAAAGAGGGACTACTCGTAGTCTAATGACAAGACACCTGGTACAACTCTTGCTATGCTTCTCTTCATCTGGGAGGAGTACACATGGGTGTCAGCAAGCTGCCATGGCAACCTTACAAAACGTTGAATAGCATTTCAAGATCCAGCAAAGGAGCTCATCAGAAGATAGCTCAGAGAAGCATTTATTGATATTACAGTAATTGTAACATTTTATTCCAGACAGCTGTTCCATGATTTCAACAAAAGTGAATCAAGTACCTTAAATGAATAGATCTATTTTGCTCTTTGTTGCCAGGATTCTAAAGGACTTACTTTGTGAATTGATACGCAAATCAGTAGCAAAGAGTCATCCAAAGCTCCTGCTACGGCGGTAAGTTAAATTTTAGTGGCGTCGTCATTATCTCTCACTGATAAAATTATAATGAAATGCATTGTCATTTTTCTCTAGAACTGAGTCAGTGGCAGAAAAGATGCTTACCAACTGGCTTGCATTCTCTATGTACAATTTTCTTAAGGTTGGTAAATACTTGTATTTGTAAAACTGTTATTACTTTCCTGTCTTTCAGGATTCAAAATGGATTTTTTTTTTGTAGTTGTACATAAGAATACCCTTTTGAGCCTGTATTCAGTCCAATTCCAGTGCTCTGTCATGCGAGAAAGGAAAAATTCTTGTTCTCTATTGTTTTATTAGTAGCTGTGGACTGAATTCATATTGTCTGCTTCACCCTTAGTCCATACACTCAGGGCAAAAGCTTTCAAAATAGTAAATAATTTTAAAACGTGGACAGTTAAAAAAGCAGTTATTGTTGGTTAGTGTTTATCTAAGTTCTTAGTTCTGTGACAAACTCGACTGCCTTTGAGGAAACACCATTACCATTCAATAATTCTAATCAACCAGGCAGGTGTTGATTTTGAACCCTGTCTTGTTGTTAGACAGGTACTTTGCACTTGGGTAAAACAGATGGGAACCAACAGCTAGAAATAATTAATCGACAACATCAGTGAAGTCAATGAGTAATCATTGGGTAATCAATGGATAATTAGTTGATTAGTAATTGAGTATTGCTGATGATCAAGAATAATCAATGAATAATCAATGGGCCACATAATGTTCAGTCATCGATTAGTCAAGATAATTATAATCGCATGGCCACAAAAACCATACCAACGGAAAATAAAGAAATAGAAGCAACTTCTGCAGGTATGTCATTTTTAGGCGATGATCTTCTGCGGTCTGCCATCTTTGTTTTGCAAAGTGTGTTTGATTCGTGGCTGGTTAATACAGACTGGATGGAGGATTTGTGTCTGGAGTGAGTGCTGTACTTTATCCGATTAAACTGAGCTCACTATCGAACAGGCCTGATCTGCAAAATGCAAAATCAAAATGCAAATTGACATAAGCTCAAGCGCTCAATAGGTGTTGAAAAGTGAAGAGACAATCAATGTCGCAGCTGTTGAGACCTTAACAGATTGGATGGAAACCAATCGCGGTTTCTTGACAAGATATAAAAGGTGAGATCACTAAAATCTCTGTTTTGCTTGAGCTTACATTTATATACATTTATACTGTTGATGATATCTGATGATGTTCATTTTCTAAGCCAAAAATAAGGAAATCCTGTGGGAGTGAAGTTCTACACTGTCACCCTACAGTTTTACATGGCAGTGAATCTTATATCTTCCAAAATTGTGTTTTAAGAATAATACACTCATACACACTTACATCTTGACTTGTCAATGATGTGGAAATAAATCCTGTCCCTTTCTGTTGTTAAATGCCCGGTTCATTTAACAATCTTTTAGTTTTGGCATTCATAATATATCCATGTTGGAAATGGACCAGCCATACTGTTTGAATTTGTTAGACAACGCAGAGTTAAGGGTGCAATACAATGTATCTTGCAAAAAGTGTGGGTGAGGTGTTACATGTACATGTAGGTATTGGAGCTAACAATGTATCAGGATTGTAGATACACCAGTCTTGTTGTCTGCAATTTACAGATGGTATGTTTAGTGATGGGGTTATTCTTTTAGTAACAGTAATGTTATAGTTATCATAAAAGAGTTATTAATAATTAAATTGTGATTAGTTTAATTTATCCTCACTTTTATTCTGTTTGTAGACCACTGAAATGGTTACAACTTACCGGTCTTCACATATTCAGCATCACAAACCTTGTCAGGGTAAACAAGTATACTATGGCTATATTTAGACAAGATAATTATGGTTACACAAGACGGTGCATAATGACCACAGTAGTTGGAATCATTCAACATTTATGCCATCTGAGTCAACATTAGAAACATATACTGACTGAACAAAACAATCCTCAATCCATGCCCTGCCCTTTACCAAGACACTGAGCTATGTGGATAAGATCAAAAGGATTGCAAGTGTTGACTTATTGGTCATATTTTGCTTGAGAAACTATATGTTCAGTGTAAACATGTATCAGCTGCATTCAAGCAAGATGCAGTCAAGATATGTGATGTTGCAAGACTACATAGACAACCACAGTTGAGGCAGCCTTGGCTGTTTAGCATAGTGTACTGTAATGTTGCATTTTAATATGTACAAATTGTAATAAAAGACATCAAATTAATCACTAAAACCTAGAGAAATACAGTTACAAGAAGTGTCAAAATTGTCACCTAAGGGACTCAAGTGAGATATTTCTTTGGTGAAATCATATTTCCAGTGTTTCAAGAATTACATTAATTATTATCAGTTGGAAAATAATCTGACATATTATGTTTGAATATGGAAATGAATATATAAAAACTCCTCCTAAAACAACTTTTGATCACCTTCCCAATTCATCTTGCATTGGAACATCTTTAATTATTTGCATTGCCGAGAACTGTAAGCTTTTACATTTTGCTCGTTTGTGTGTTTTTTGTTCTTCCAAATATGATTGTGACTAAAAAATAGAGGATGTATCTGCACATGGCTAAATGGCTGATAATAATGAAAAACGCAAAAAATTGTTTTGGTGCCAAACAGGAATGTTTACTTCATAGCATGGATCACAGCCAACAAGAACAACAGCAACAGAAAAGACTTTGCTTAATCTCACCAATTGAAACCTATTTCTTCACCCCATCTTGCTGACCTGCCAATTCTTCTCTCTCTCAACACACATTTTGTACTGATTTTAGTTATTTTTACTTTCGCTATAACTTAGCTTAATTTACAATGGCTGCAGCCACACTAAGAGAGTTAACTGGGTTTATTTTTTAGAAACCTGGTTAGAAATTCTAAACAACTTAACTTGGTTAAAGGTTGGTTATAATAAAATAACGGGGTTATATTTTATGAGCGGCCACACTGAAATGGGTTATGAAGTGGGTTAAACTGAATTGAAGTCATGAGATAAACCAGCAAAATGGCAGACTTCGGGGACCCTGTTCAGTCTGTTGTTATATTCTCGATTCTTTTTCTTTGTTTTCGTTTCCTTTCTCTCCACTCACGGCTAAGGCAGTCCCTCTNCTGCAATAATTTTCACCAACGCCAAAAGGCTACTAACATCATGTGTGTTTCTTTAACATAGTGAAATTTTACACTGCGAAAATAAAATAGACAAGGAGTGAACACGGGACAATTGCATTCGTCAGTGTTTACCAATACCTTTGGGCATTACGTAATGAACACTGGCAATTGCATTCATTAGTGTTTACCAATACCTTTATGCATTACGCAATCCTTTTGTTTTACTTGCCATCGTACATATTTCATATATTAGTGTTTTCGTTCATAAAAAATGCTAATCCTCGGCGTGTGCGGTACGGATCGGAACTTCTTGGACGTTTTCGAATATCGAGGACTCTTGGACTGTCAGGGCATTGTTTAAAAGTTTGATTTATAAAATCGTGTGGAAAAGAATAAATGTTTAATCTGGTAAATAAGGAGCTTTGATAATTCAACCAACAAAATCGAAATCGTTTCACTGAACGTTCGATATAACTCCTCGCATTGTGAGCTTGGGCTGCCTGTGTGCCGAATTGCGGAAGTATACTAGACGACTAGCAGTGAGTTCCCAGTTGATTAAGTATCTTTTTTTTCTCTGTATCCTAGGCCGTCAAAAGTACGCTAAAAGAGACTCTATAGGTCTTGCAGGATAACGTTTTTGCCATTAGCTTCCTTATTGAACATAGACTGCCATATAAAACAAGGTAAACATGCCCTCGACCAGAAGTCAAACAGCTCNGTACGGATCGGAACTTCTTGGGCATTTTCGAATATCGAGGACTCTTGGACTGTCAGGGCATTGTTTAAAAGTTTGATTTATAAAATCGTGTGGAAAAGAATAAATGTTTAATCTGGTAAACGGGTTGCACGTGCAATGCATGATTTCCAAGAGCAATGTCAAGTTCACATAGCAAAGTAAGAACATGGCTGGTTGATTTGCTTCTCCAACATAATGCATTTTTTGTTATTTTCTTTAAAACAATGTGTAATAAAACAATTATTGGCTTCGGTTTTTGTAATATCTGGAATAATGAAGGTCTTGGTAAGTGTTATCAGCCTTAGCCTTCGGCCAATAACACTTACCCTAGCCTTGATTATTCTGGATATCACAAAAACCTCACCCAAGAATTGTTTATTAACAACAAAGAGAGCCTGCATTCCTGTAGCTCACAGTGGTGTTTTAATGTGCATTCACCAGGACTTCCATGTGCTCCAGGACTGAGACGTGTTGGCAGCCTTCACATTGATTACAGCCTTAACAGGGGACTTTGTTTTGTATGGGAGCACATCTTCAAGCATTCCCCCTTTCTTCCCTCTCCACTGTGAAGTCAGTGTGACAGCTGCCTGTCTCCCCATTCGCAGCTCATGGCTTGGTCTGGAAGATTTGTCAGCTGTGGGAATGGTCTTAATCTAGGAGCTAGCTGCCAATAATTTTACAGTGGAAGCTCCTGGATGTCTCCGGCACGCAACCTCCATTTAGCCAAGTTCAACTGGACAAATAGGACTAATATTGTGTTTTTTTTCCCCAGTACGTAAGATTGCCAGGTTTAGCAGCAGCAGTAGCTGTAGTCATATTGGAAGAGGTATTGTCAGTCATAATACTTTCTTGCGTGTGTTAATGCCAATCGTCAATGTCATTGCAGTTATCGTTGTCAGTTATGCAACATCGGTTTGCACTATTTCTATATACTACAGAGCAACATTGGCTGAAATATGCTCTAATGCGATGATTGGATAGTTCAGTGTTTGTGTAAACCAAGGAACTTTACCTTGGAGGTCTGTAAGTACCAACGCTTCTGCCATGAACTGAAAAGTCCCAGTGGGCAAACGCCAGGCAGATTTTTCCATGCGCCGAATTCAAACCCTGACTCGCACTTGTTCCGTCATTGCCCAAGTATTTTTCAAATTTGCCATCCAATGCCGCTTCCATCATGACAACATTTTTATCATCTTCAGCATCTTGCCTTGCCAGAATGAAGCACGGTATAACACTGAAGAAAAATGCAAATGTGTATCAGAAAAGTACTGTGGATATATCACATCTAT